ACCTTCACCCTACCCAAAATCATTTGTTAGCACCATAACAAGACGTTTCAACACATTTAGCGAATCTTGATTGATGTTGCTGACACAATCCTTTGGTCTAAGCTAAGCAAAATCGGCTCCAAAGACCATGAAATGGTTTAGACGCTTTAGAAAAGAAATTAGTAGAAATGCCTTAAAAAGAGAAATTTTCAGCTATATAGGCTCTTTTCATGGATATACCCATTCACGTGAATACCTCTGCAAGCACATCGAAACGGTCCAGAAAGATTCAATTCTGTTCCGAATAGAATGAAATTCGTTCCTCGTGCATTTTCATTGGTATCGTGGATCTTTGTTTTACTGTGGAGCGTCTCTGACGGATTTGCGTTTCTTTAGTGAAATATATGTCATGATGAGTTTGTACTTTTCGCTTAGATATTGGCTAGCCGAATTGGGCTTGGACTTAGTGCGAAAGCTAGCGGCTAGCGCCTCGCACTAAATCTTTTTGGGTTTGGGATGAACCCGGAGCTAAGGCTAAGGCATAGGCGTTTTTTTGAAAACATCGTGAAACGTCGAAATAGGTCAAGCTGGGTACCGAAAATCAGTTAAAAAGGATTTTGCCGTGCTGGCAAACCCCGGAAAGCACTGTTAGAACAAAGAAACTCGGGGCTTGCTGCTCATTTACTAAGTAAAGTACCAGCAAAACCCTGGAATTACTTTCGTTTACTTGATAAATGGTGATAAATAATACTAAGAAAAGTACCGGCAAACCCCGAAATTTAGTGCTCAGAACAGTGAATTCAGGTCATTTACTAAGAAAAGTGCCGGAAAGCCCCAGGAATCACTGTTAGAACGGCCAATTCGGGGTTTTGCCGGCCATTTACGAAGGACAATGTGACAATTAAGTTGAGAATCTCACATGAAAACTGGATGCTACTTCAATTGACCCATATAACCCAGACAATAAAGGTCACAAAGGGCAAATTTAGTTTTGAAAATCAACTAAAGCGCATGTCAGAAATAGAACCATATTAACACAAGAACCCAAAAAAGGCGGCTATTTGGGTTTGGGCTAGTGGGGATCCTTGCAAATTGATTTCTGTACTTTTATTGAATCGAGGCGACGGTGGAAATTGGAACATTTCAGCCCTATGATTTCCGTACTTTTATCGGATCAAAGAAGCTGTTCAAGTTGGGACATTTCAGCCCCATTTCAGACATTTTTGTATTGGATCAGTAATTGGAACGGGTTGAGACCAAACCCAAATAACTCCTTTATTGGTTGGGTTTTACCCAACCAAAAGCCTTAGCCTTAAAACGCTTAGGCTTGAGGCTTCAGGTTTAGGATTAGGCTTAGGCTTAGGCTTAGGCTTAGGCTTAGGCTTGGACTTAGTGCGAAGGCTAGCGGCTAGCGCCTAGCACTAAGTCTATTTGGGTTTGGGCTGAACCCCCATTTTCCGGATCTCAGACAGTTTTCGGAGCTAAGGTGCAAGCTCTTGTCGTTGTGCTTGCGCCCCCCATAGGATTGCTCAGGCTTAGGCTTAGCTCAGGCTTTTTGCACTTTTTTTGTGCCTGAGCCTGAGCTATCAACCACATAAAACTGTTGATAGTTTGAAAAAAGCGCTCGAAAAGGCTTAGGAAGAGCTGGATCTCCTATACCTTCTCGCCACGATCGACGCTTTTCTACGACGTTTGGACGCCTGTGTAAAAGCTATTGGAGATCTGTTTGAAAAGGAACAGCCCTTATAAAAGAATAAAAGAAGCTTTTATGGATTGTTTTTATGAATTGTTATGAGACAATAAAAGTTATTTTTAAGAAAAACCTTTGACGTTTTGAGTTGCTTTTTATACAGAGACTTTTTTATATGTAGCGGTAATTTTTCAGCTGTTATTTCAGCTTTCCTGTAGCTTTTCAGCGTTTACTGGTGTAGATGATAGGACAAGTTAAAAGTATTTTAAGATCATTGATGACATCTAAACTCCCAAGTTTCAAAAAGAACGACTTCAGTAAACGATTCGTTATTTAATACCATTGTGGCCAGCAACAATGATTCACAATTCGTTTTTTGCAAGTCTTCAGCAACGATAACCATCACATTTTGACATTTGACCAAAAAAAATCGGATTTTTTGCAAGCTTTGCTCCAAAAATGATTTCATTATCCAAACAAATTTTTTAGATCATTTTGGGTTTGTAGTTGTAGACGCTAGGCAACCCGTGACAGGCAAAAAGGTTCCACAATGACGGAGAAACTCAATTAGTTCCGAAGAATGACCTAAAAGAAGTGCGAACTATACTAACTGACTTATTTAAAATCTAAATGATCGACTTTATGTTGAAAATTGAGATTTTTGGGCATGAAATCTAAGCTTTTATTTAGAGAATTACCGGGTTAAACATAGAAGAATATGCACTTTACTAGATTTTTATAATACAGTCGACGCTCGATAGTAAATCACTTTTGAAAGCTTCCGATAAAACGCTTAAGAAAATACAAGGGCATAAAGCTCGATAGTAAATCATTTTTGGAGAATCCTTTCATAAGTAAGATTGAAATTCATTGAAAGGATTCTCCAAAAATGATTTACTATCGAGCGTCGAATGCATTTGCAATTCATCATTCAACAATTACGTTTTTACGTGTTCGCATGTGTGATCGAACATTCGATACTGTAAGATTTTGTAAAACGAATATTAAAACAATCACTTCTAAAGCTGAAAAGTAACTTTTGAAATCTAAAGACAGATTTTCAACACTTTGTTTAAAGAAAGGAAAAGATGAAAGTCGCATGGGGAGTCGAAGCAGGCTCTAGAACAAAATCGGCTCTAGAACAAAATCGGCTCTAGAACAAAATCGGCTCTAAAACAAAATCGGCTCTAGAACAAAATCGGCTCCAGAACAAAATCGGCTCTAGAACAAAATCGAAGTTCTAGAGTCTAGCAGCTTAACGATTAGAGAAAATACGGTAGTGAGGATTTTTTTTGTTAGCAGAGTCGGTGTATTTTGAAACACAATTTCAAAAATACAATTTGAAACACAATTTCAGCGTTAAACAATGCTTATTGAGCAGTCCAGACATTTTTCAATCTATCTAATATCTTTTCATTACTGTTTTACTCAGTTTTCTCCTCAATTTGTCTACTTAAACAACTCCTGAATAGAGTATTTAGAATTTGTCGAAAAATAGCTCAAAGCTCAAGATTTCCAAGAGATCTCCGAAAAGGGAATCTAGCCGGAGACAAAGCTGCTCTCTAAGCCCTATTAGCTTGAAATTCTCAACAAGAAAACAATCCCTGAAACCATTATGACGCAAATTCACCCCATCGGAAGAGATTTCTCGAGTGATATTCCGGTCATTCACACCGCAGCTCTTTTCCTTTTGAAAAGAAAATATCTCAAATCGTTTATCTCAGAGAATTTCTCTAAAAATGGATCCTCGTGCGTCTATTTTTGTGGGGGAGTAAGGGGAAAAGGACAAAAAAAGTTCAAAGGGAAAGATTTCGAAATTCACTGGACCTCCAGAATTGACGTCATCAAAATCTCCCCATTTCCCCTTTTTTGAAGCCTTTATCTTTTCCCTTATACGTCTCTTTAAAGCTAACGTTCTATTCCAGTTTTTAGCCGTTTTCTCTCATTTTTAGCCACTTCTCCCCGTTTTTCGCAATTCTTTTACCAATCTGAATCTATTTTCTAGTTATTTCTCTAGAGTTTCTCTAGAGCTTTAGTCTTTTTATTTCTTTTTTTCTTTTTTAGATGATTGTTCCTGCTCACCTTGTTTTCTCCCCGTTTACATTGAAACTCATACTTTTTTTTCTACACTTTCTCCCAAGTTTCTTTCAAAATCCATTTTCTAAACTTAACTTTTTCATTCTCTGTTCATCACTTTTCTTTTTTCTCTTTTCTTTTATTAAATATTACAGAATTTCTCATTTTCTCTATGATTTCTCTATGTTTTTCTAAAATTCTTACTTTTTTCTTTATTTTCACACAATTTCCTTTTCAATTTCATTTTTATTCGTTTCTCTGGTATCTATTATTCGCGAATATTCTATTTTCTCTAGAATTTTTGTTCTAGAATCTCTAGAATTCTTTAGAATCTCTCTAGAATTTCTCTAGAATCTCTAGAATCTCTAGAATTTCTCTAGAATCTCTCTAGAATTTCTCTAGAATCTCTAGAATCTCTAGAATCTCTAGAATTTATCTAGAATTCGATATTTTTCATGTCTCTAAGCTGTATTCAATTCCAATTCCTAGTTCTATTTTTCCAAACAAATCTATTGCGTTGAGTTTTTTTCTGGTTTCCTGGAATCTTTCTTCAAGATCTTTAACCCAAAAGTTTACTTGTCTTATCCAGAACTATTGAAGAGGAACAGAGAAGTCTTAGGGAAATAGGTAGAAAGGAAAGATGTCTTTGCTTTCTACAGGAAAGATGTCTTTCCTTTCTATCTATTTCCCTCACATTCCTCTGTTTTCTCGGCAAAATTTGCCGTTTTTTTCTTCTCGACCCATTCGCATTTGTCCTTTATTTCTTTGAAACACAACACTTTTCACTAGTCAATTTCTCGATTTCCCTAACATCTCATGCTCTTCTCAAACTCACTCAAGATTTCTTTTCTCACTCCATTTCCTAATTTCATCTTTCTTTTGAATATCTCTTTTCTTTTTTTAGCATAAAATCTCCAATATCTCACTCTTTTCAATCCCTTTCATCTATGAGACTCAGTTCTTCACCCCATTTCCCCATTTTCCCCATTTTCCCCCTTTTCCCCCTTTTTCCCCTTTCATGGCCCATTTATGGCCCCGCCCTTTCCCGAGTATTTAACCGACCCGAGAAAGTCCAAAAATAAACCCATTTGGATGACCTTTATTTTTAAGGTCGAAATTTTCATTCTTCAGCTTTCTTGAAAGAGTTATTTACGGAGTTTTCTGGATTTCTTAAATCTTTTGTGTTATTTGAAAACTGATTTGCTCCCAAACCTTTTCTGCATTGAAAATTGAAAATAGAAACTTATATCTTCAGATGAACTCCATTCAAAAGCTGTTTTTCTTCATATTCCTTCTCGTTTGTGCGGTCTCGAGTCTCCCGTTGGTGCAAAGGAGTCAGCTAGAGGTTTGGGATTAACTTTTACGAAAAGATCACTGTTAAATGGCTTTTGCAAATGAGCTGAAATGTTTTGAAACATGAAATTTATGATGCTTGATTTTGTCATGAAGAAAAGTTTTATGCTTTTCAATTAGTGAGGACTTTTGTTAGCAGAGTCGTTGTATTTGTATTTAATTTGAATTGTATTTGTTTTTATTTGAAACACATGAAATTTCAGCGTTAAACAATGCTTATTGAACAGTCCAGACATCTTTCAATATATCTAATATCTTTTCATCACCGTTTTACTCAGTTTAACCCTCAATTTGTCTACTTAAACAACTCCTGACTACAGTTCATCAGTAAACAATGAAAATTCGCGGCTTAAAGTGACCCAATTGATTAACCGTAGCGACAAAAATGAATTGTATCTTGTTTATTTGTGACGTCATCAAAAAAACTTTGGCACTTGGTCTTAGATTCGCTTTATTTATTTTAATTTAAAACAAAACCCTTGATTCTATTTGAATTTTAGACTACGACCTTTGAAAAAAACGATTGATTTGATAATTTCTACACTTGAGCCTAGCCACTTTAAAATTTCAAATTTTTAGGCCAAATACTAGCTATAATTTTGCTCAATTGATCTCATCCCCTTTGAAACATCCATTTTCAGGTCCCCGACGAAGCAATTTTATTCCCGACAATGCTCGAAGAGATCGATTTCGACAAAAGAGATCCCGAGATGGCGGTTTGGATTGATGTACCCGAAAGCTTACGGTGAGTGGGGATTTCATCATGAATGGAGTTCAATGAAACAGTACAATGGAATTAGTCTAATGGAATAGTCCAATGGAACAGTCCAATGGAATTCAAGTCCATTGGAACAGTCCAATGGCATTCAAGTCCAATGGAACAGTCCAATGGAATTCAAGTCCAATGGAAAAGCCTTAATGAATCGTTTGTGCTCCAAATTTTGAGCATAAAAAGTTCAAGTTTCAAAGTAAATGAACACTAAAGCATGGTCAACCGAGTTAATCATTTATTGCTGGTTGTTCAAAAATTGAATTTCATTTTAACGATACATCAAGTATAACAAGCAAATTGTATCCATTTTGCTTAATTCATTTTCGAAAAGTCACCAATTACCATAAAGCTACCGTCAGTTTAGCTACCGTCCGTTTAGCTACCGTCTGCCAGTCAGTTTTCATTTAATTAGCCAAATTTTGGTATTATTGACTGAGATCTTTGTGATTGATCAAATGATCCAAAAATTTAGCTGAAAACTGGCGGGTTGTTTACGGTAATTTGTCGAAAATAGGATGTCTTTTAGAAAATGTAGTAGTTGAGTTGAGTAGTTGAGAAGAACAAGTATTACAACAAATTCAACAACTCCATTTCCAGTTTCAACTCGGAACTCCCGCGTACGGACAGAAAATGGCATCTGGATGAGGAAATGATTCTCTCAGCGCGGAGGCATCCGACTCTCAAAACTGTGTGAAAATTGTTGGATTTCAAAGAACAATAGATAGCTAGCTGTTACTTTTGTGCTTTATCTCTTTTTTTTGCCTTTCTTCCGCTTCCTTGCTTTTGACTATGACTTTGTTGACTTTTTTTGCTTCAATGAACTCTTTCATTGTTTATTTTTGTTGATCTGAATCGTTTTTAAGCATTTACATGTGACTTTTGAACTATTTATAGCAAGCTGAATATCTTAAAAGGTTTTATTTAGCTTTAAACTGAATTTTCAAAAGAAACTACTGTACTAATTTTATAGATTACTGTAAAATTAGTACGGTAAATGTTTAAAATTAGTCCTTACATTAATTTGAAGAAAATTGAAAGAGAAAAAACTATTCCCCTAACGCAAAAAGTATCTATTGAAACTTTAAAGATATTCAATCAACTGAATTCTTTATTCAGGCATACTGTAATACAAGTTCTTGGCTTACTGTACTCTTTTGTACTCTTTTGAATCTCTTACAGTACTCTTTTGTACTCTTTTTAATCTCTTACAGTACTCTTTTGTACTCTTTTGTACTCTTTTGTACTCTTTTGAATCTCTTACAGTACTCTTTTGAGAAAAAAATACAAATGATAATAGAAAAAACAAATTTGTTACATTCACCCAATAATTTCTTGTGATACCCCGTTTAATTTGAAACTTGTTTCTTTTCCCCCAATCCCCTTTATCATTTTACGGGTTTTCCACAGGCTGTGCTTGATCTCGCTCTCTTGCCTTCATGCGGGTATTTCCCTCAAAAAAAAATCGTTGACTAATCCACCCAAAACATGCAGAGATTTGTGTACATTTATCTGTTCATAAAGTGTTAATAAAATGGATTGGAAATGAATGCAAAATAGGATGCAAAATAGGGTGCAAAATAGGATGCAAAATAGGGTGCAAAATATGATGCAAAATAGGAATCCAGCGAAGAAAAGAATGATTAACATCTAACTTATCGACAAATTAAGTCAAAAGTTGAAACTGAGATTTTTTGATAGTATAAAATTCTCTGGTTTTTGTCGGAAATCCGAGTTTTTCCAAAAAATACGGGTTTTTTCATTGTGAAAAGCTATCATCTGCAAAACCCAAAGCCAATTCGATTCTCTTGGGAGTTTTTTTGGGACAAAAGGTTAAAATAAACTCCGATAATAGGTTCTACGACCATCAAAACCTCGAAGCACAAATTTCTAACGCTAAATCTCATTTGAGAATCATTTACAGAACAAAAGAAAGAGCAAAAGAAAGAACAGAAGAAAGAACAGAAGAAAGAACAAAAGAAAGAAATGAAGAAAGAACAATGGATTTGTGTTTAGAATAAGTTATGTAATGGAAGCGCCCGCATACAAACATCAGATGAGCAAAAGAAGAACTGTTGGAGTAAATGGAAAAAGAAATTTGATTGGAAAGTTTCCAACTTTGGCAGTACCTAGAATATCAATTGTAATTGTATCAATTGTACTGAAGCACTTCACAAAACCTTTTCATATTGCATTATCAGGGAGGTGTGAAGAAGTACAACTTCCCTTCCAATTCTCTTTCCCTTCCAATTCCCTTGTTTCTTTGCATCTAAAGCTGTAAATAGGCTGAATTCTGATGACTAAATCGGATAAATTAAAAAGAAAAGAATGACCCAACTTCAAATCTATCATTATCTATCAGATATCTATCAGTGATTCACATAAAAAACCAAAAACAGATAGATATAACCAAGCAATTGACAAGCAATTGGCTCGCTTTAGGTTTCGCTAAGTTTTTAGGATTAATTTTGCTCTATTTTTGCTTTGAATTCCAGCCGGGTAATAGAAATTGAAAGGAAAAGAGATTTTTTTGATTGAAACTGGCCATTTAATAGTTGAAAAATTTGCTCTTATAGGCTTTTAGTTGAAAAAAAGTAAAGTTTCAAAGTTCCAAATTAAGAAAGCGTTTTCCATTTAATCTGCTGTTCGCCGCCCCCCCCCCGAAACAAGTGGGGGGGGCAATGGGGCCCTCCCGACAATAACAACCCCGTTTCATTAAACTGCTGTTTCTATCAAAATTCTAAACCAAAGCCTAACTTGTTTCTTGAAATTCTTTATTTGAATAACTTGAATGACTTATTTGAATCTGCAATTGACTACTTTATGTCATTTTCAAATAACGAGAAATTTTGCCATTTCATTCGACTCATTGATGTGAATTCGAGCTACTCACTTGAAGAGAAAAATAAATGAAAATGACACTTCAGGGAAGTATTTTTGGGTGGATTGTAACCAAATCTCTTTAGCTGTTTTTGGGGATCTTTTTACCCACCCCCACCAATTAGATTTGGGTTTATAAATCTACGAAAATAAAGGAGAAAAAAAATACGAGTAATACGAGAAAATTTTGTTGTTGTCGAGCCGAGATTTGTCGAGGAAAACAGAAGTGATTAACAGAGGTGAAACAGAAAATTAACAGCAACAGAAGTGAAGTCACACCAGACTATAATTGCTTTCAGATAAAAGATAATAAAAGAGATTTCAGATAAGCTTTCAGCTAAGGGTTAAGATCTTTGAAACATGAAAAATCTTAAAGAATTTAATCAGATCAGATCGAAGACCTTGGAAAGAAACATCCCAAAGTCTTGTTCTGTTTGAAAAATAGAATCGCAGAGTTGCCAGAGTTGACAGAGTTGACAGAGTTGACAGGGTTGACAGAGTTGACAGAGTTATCAACTTATGAGTTAACTCGTCGATAACTCTGTCTTTGTCTCAGTGTTTCAGAGTTGCGTGTAAATGACAAAACAGATTCATTGAAGTACATTAGAATTGAGACAAGATTTTACGTAAGCAGATGAGCTAGAAGAAAGTGTTCGCGAGAAGAAAGTAAAGAAAGCAGATCAGCTAAACGTTAAGCTTTTTGAGCGTTAAAAATTTTTTTGTATACTATTGAAGATTTTGTGATTATTTTCCCAACATTTAGATCAACCTGCGTCACTTTGAAACTTCAAATTTGACTCAAAACCAAATTGAAACCAGCTTTCTTCGAAAGCTTTTCTCTTCGAAAAGCTTTCGATTCAGTTTTCCGGTAAATACGCATTATTCTATTTATGTATCCCCAGTGTCTGACGCACTTAATCTTTAGGCAAACTTCGCTGAAGACTGAAGAGTTTTAACCCATAACTTTACCTACTAAAGTACCAAATGGACCAAATAGACCAAATGGACCAAATGGACCAAATGAACCAAATGGACTAAATGGACCAAATGAATCAAATGGACCAAATGAACCAAATGAATCAAATGGACCAAATAGACCAAATGAACCAAATGAACTAAATGGACCAAATGGACCAAATGGACTAAATAGACCAAATGAATCAAAGGACCAAATGGGCCAAATGGACCAAATGGACTAAATAGACCAAATGAACTAAATAGACCAAATGAACTAAATAGACCAAATGGACCAAATAAACCAAATGAATCAAAGGACCAAATGGACCAAATGGACCAAATGAACCAAATGGACCAAATAGACCAAGTGAACTAAATAGACCAAATGAACTAAATAGACCAAATGGACCAAATAAACCAAATGAATCAAAGGACCAAATGGGCCAAATGGACCAAATGGACTAAATGAACCAAATGGACAATTCCAGATTTGAGAATTGCGCTCATCTAGAAGTTACTCATTTCAGCTTAAAATGTCTGCGCGAAGGGTTGAAGAGCTTTAGATTTGAGGATTGAGCTCGATAAGAGGAGTGAAGCGAAGAATGAATCCAATATATATCCAATCCAATATATCCAATATATCCAATAAATCCATAGCTATCCAATGGGTAAAAAGGTCTCGTTGAAGGGTCATTTTTCTTCAATATAAAAACTGCTGACTTCTAATGACTTCAATTCCTACTTCTGATTAAATGCATTAAAGGAAATTTGCTAAACTAATTACCCAAATTTTTGTTTAATCTGAGTCACTTTGAAACTTTAAATTTTAAACAAAATTCCAACTAAACCATTCAAATCAAATTTTTAACTCTTTTAACAAATCAAAACTCTTTCTTCAAATCTTTTCTCCAATCTAGTGCATCGAATTCAATCTTTCCCAGTAATTTTCTCTAGAAAAATCTATTTTTATTCATCTAATGACTAAAAATATCCTTTAGAAGGGTCTATTTTTGTTCAATGTAACATAATATTTAGGAGCACATCAAGAGAGATTGCTCTATAATGCTTTGCGGAATTAGATTCCCAAATAGATGAAAGGGAAAGATGAAAAAGATGCGAATGAGGCCAGGGAAAGATGGGGTGAAAGTGGGGAAAAATGGAGAAAAATAGATATGTTCTTCTTCTTTTTTTTCTTCTATAAAAGTGCGTGTCTCTCTTTTTGAATCGTTGTGTCGCAAAAATAGACTTGAGCTCAAGGAAAAAGCAATTGCAATTGCTTCAAAGCCCCCCCCCCCAACAAGGGGGTTTATTTAGAGGAGCATCACATCACTTGTTTTGAAAAAAAGAAACAAGGAAATTTTGAAGGGATTTTTTTAGATAAGAAATGTAACAAAATGATGTGTTGAATTGTTGGTTTTAGGAAAAACAAATCCTGAAAACCAAGAAGCTATTATTTAGCTTTTGCTATTTTTGAACTTTGAAAACTTGAAACACAACAATTCTAACAAACAATTTCGAGTTTTTCACTAGTTGCGTGCATTAAACTCTCTAATTCTCAAGTTTAACCGATTTTTTTGCAATCCGAGTTACTAAAATATCGTAAAATGAAATGAAATCAATATTTACAAATTTTTCTTATTAAATTCAGAATTTCTCAACTCTATTAAGCCTTCATAATGTAAAATTGTAGCAAATTGTTTGAAACTTGAATATTCCAGATAGTTTTTTGGAGTCTATGCTATGACAAGTCACATAATATGAAAGTGAAAGCAAAGTTAACTCCCTCTGGAGTAAGGGAGATCAAGTGCGTCGTGGTGTAATGGTTAGGACAGTTTCCTGGTAAGCGAACGGTCGCGG